GTTATATCGCAGTTATAAAGGAAATTAAGTAACCTCAATATTAATAATGTATAACAGCAGTTATATTACATGTTACTCCTGTGTTATATCACAGTTATGTTCTGTGTTTGCTGGGCACAATATGAGTAAATTTAATAAATGAGACGAAAGTTAACCGTGAAAGGCGAATCTCAAAACGTGAAATATTTCACGTGAACTTTCAGGCTGCATTCCGAAATGCACTGCCAGTACTGAAAATCTATAGTTCATGTTACGTATATTATAGAATTTCAGTACTGGCAGTGAATTTCGGAACGCAGCTTCAGTTTGCTCATAGATGTTCTTCTTTACATGTAAATTGTGTAAGTTTCCATGAAAATTTTTAAGCATCAAGCAAAGTGGTTTAAATTTAAAAAATAATATAATACTACACTCGCATATTATGTACAAAGTGAGTAGAATTTCTTATAGTGACTTTAATTTTTATGGTTATACGACAATTGGCATTTGACATAAGAATCCTAATGGTTCCTGCACACAGGACGCGGTAATGCTTGCCGCGTGGCGGAAGTTCGCCAATCAATATATTGTTTTTCTGTAAGAACTAGAAAGTTATTACGGAAAGCAGCATATTGATTGTCTGTCGCGCGAATTTCATAAGTCCATTAAAAATTAAAAACGAAAGCCAGTTGAAGCGTGACGTATAGGCAGTGAAAGCATACCGACGAGATTTGCAAAGTTAAGATACGTATGCATCAGAAAGTTAAAGTGTAATATATTATAAATTATATGCAGTAAGTAAAATGTAAGTTTATTTTATGTATTTATTGCATGTATTTTATGTATTTTATGTATTATTTTATATGAAATATATATTTTTTATGAAATATATGTATTTTCTGCAGATTTATGAAATATATATTTTATATATATATATATATATATATATATATATATTTATGAAATATATATATTGAAATATTACGCTCTCTGAGCGTTATCTGGGGAGAGGAGAGTGTCGTGAACGTGAAGCGTCAGATAGCTCAGTGGTTTAGAGCAGTCGCCCGGCAAGCGGGTTCGAGTCCCGGTTTAGCAGAACCGCGCTCTCGATATTTTTCTCCCTCTGGAACGAAAAGATACGCAGATCTCGAACGCATAGCGTCCCTAGTATGCCGCCGCCATCTAGTATGTCCTCCTCCTTCTATGGAGTAATTTATGAAATATATATATTGAAATATATATATGAAATTATTATATTTATGAAATATATATTTATGAAATATATATTTTATATGAAATATATATATATATATATTTTCTGCAGATTTATAATTTTAATATGAATAGAATATTTTATCTTTTAATAATTTATTCTAAAGTAATCCCAGACAAGCAGACTTCCAAGAGACGTTCTAAAAACATCACTATGTCTTAAAAACATGTTTAAAAAATTCTAAAGATGTCCATTGCAAATTGGTGTTGTCTTGAGTATATTGTAATATTTGTTTTACTTACAAATTTACGTTAAATCTTTCATTTTTCACGAGTTCACGAGTTTAGTGAAAGTTTTCATCTTTCACGAGTTCATTACAAAATTTTCACTTTTCACGAGTTCATACTAAAAGGGGAAAAGATTCATGATCGCTACCCAGGAGCAAGAGCATATCATAGAATATTATAGTTATAGATAGGAGATTGTACTATTCTCTCGGATCCAGATCTCACTCGCTCGGGAGCGGTGCACTTGGACACGGTGCATTTGGACACAGCCAATCACAGCACCGTGTGATTAGAGACATTTGTAGGGTCCCTTGGAACAGCGACTTGTGATTGGACTGTGTCCAATTGCCCCGTGTCCAACTGATATACATCCCACTCGCTCTACTCTCGTTAAGGTACTTTTACATGGGAGCATCGAGCGTCGAGCGTTAAAGCGGTAGCCAATCAACGTGTCACTTTCCGCAAGAACTACAACTATATTTCTAGAACCTGATACGTTGATTGGCTAACGCTTTAACGCTCGACGCTGGAACGCTCTCATGTATTGGCAGCTTTATCGTAAGTATCCTATGTTATTACTTTCTGCACTCAAAAGTGAAGTAAATATACAGTTGTCCATTGAAGAAAGAAAGAAGTGAGCTGAAAGAGAAGTGCAGTTGAAAGAGCCAATTGTCAGGTTACTGACTGGTCAGATGCTGACTGGCAATTGGAGCAAAGCTCGGGAGATCTTAGCCAAAATATTAAAGAAGAAAAAGGTTATGTTGTGACAAGCGTACCGTCAAGTTGCATCTCGTTTCAATTCTCGTTCATGAAGTATACGGGCTTAATGCGGCATGGGGAATATGTTCCAGAAAGTGTAAAGGGACTGCTTGACAAGAGGAAAACAGAATTATTGGAGTATCTGTGCGTAGCAAATAATAAATCGTAGAGGTTATGAGGTTACATCGGTCACGGTCGACCAATAGTTTCAAAAATTCATGACATGCAGTACACGTTCTCGACGAGAATGGAAAAACTGAATCCTAAGGAAACCATCAATTTGCTCGATCTTCTGTCAGAAAGCGACTCTGACAGCACCGATCTAATTCTAACACCTAAAAAGAAGAAAATCAAACGGTAATGTTTGTTAATAATTTGAACATGTATATGTGTAAAAAAAAATATGTATATATATATGATTTTTATTTGGGTAAATTTGTTTGTGTAGTTAATTTAAACAATCATTGGAGATTTTCTAATATTTTCTTTATTTTGATGCAGACAATTTTAACATTAATCTATACATTATCTTTGGATTACAGGCGACACAGGCCAAGGACTTTAATCAGAACGAGGCACAATAATCTCTGTGGATGCAACAAATCTGATATGCGAGTGATATCTTTATGGTTGGCAGCGGTATTAATCACATTCTGGTTAATTGCTCTGTCTTGGCTGGCAGCGATACTGTATGGGGAGATTAAGAAAATGGATATATCGATAAAGTCAGGTAAATGCCATTTTAATTTATGTAAGCAGAATAATATTGATGTTTAAGTGGTAAGTACAAGATATTAATTAGATTGTCAATATTGGAGTATGAAAGGTTCTAATTAAATCTATTTACATTTAAGATAAATGTATCACATTTCCTTTTACCTTTCAATGTGTTCCTTTTTCTCAAGCTTTATCCATTATTTCTATATATATGTACATTAATAATTATCTATATGCTATTATATATATATATATATATATATATATATATATATATATATATATATATAT